TGTATGTATAGCATGTACGGGAGGCTTACATATTAACGCTCAAAAGTGTTGACTCATGGTAAAACGAGTGTGTGACCATTTCAGTTCTCACGATCGTCTACGTGAACGAAATGGCTGGGTCAGCACATACCGATGGCCCCGGATGGACCGTTATGACGGGTCTGGTCGGTAGTCGTCAGTCAGTCGAGTTAAGTCTAGTGGATCTAGTGAAAAAGTAAACGACACGAGCGTTATTTCACAGAGCATCCTTTAAGGGCCCAACAGCTAGAGCGTCATATAGTTTTAATCAGATCATCTCATAATATTATAGTATCAGTGTTCATATAGTATTTTATACAGTGTTTAATTTAATAAATCAGTAATTATATAAATCTACTTGATCCTCAAGTTACTTTTTTGATACCAATACCTAAGATTTGAACATCATATGACGGTGGACTACACTTCAACGTGATTAGAAGATCTATTAGTGAAGCTTTCATTAAAATCCKTAGTGTACCTATAAAACGTTGGCTTCTATTCTATGACRTATCATAATAAACTACTGATATTAATACATTTTCATATTAATATTATTATGTTAATAAAGTCCTCAATTAAGTTTAGCTAAAAGTTAACAAAATATTAACTGAMTGTGAGGTAATACAAAATTTTTGGGTCAGCTAATTAGCTACTAGGATAGCATTTGCACTGGTTGAAAATGCACTTACAGTGAGTTATGCCCAAAATGAGTTAAACAACCAATTTTTTTGAGTTGTTATTTTTTACAGGCAACGAAGTGAACGGGATTATCTTATATCTCCTTATTAATAATAATAAAATATAACACTTAATTTATTACTTATTATTATATAAATAATAAAAAAGAGTACAAATGTTTATAGGTACTAGGTAGTAGTAGGTAGTACTTTATTCACAGAAACATTTAAATATCGTGTAAAATCACTTAAGCTTTAAACTCGAAACCCAAATTAAATGTAATTATTTTGAGTCAATTATATAATATGTATTTAATTAATATTATTATGATAATTCACCAATCATAAATTCCAACCCGTTTACAATCCAGAGTTTAAAATTAATATCGTTGTCTGACCGATAACAACGACAACATACAAAATATGTAACGTCTGCGTGGYGCGTACACAGGAGGTAGGTACATAATATAACTTACCATATTAATTTCTAGGTCTAATCTCACAATTGGTGTTTCTGATAGTCATCATACAGCGTGTAATTAACAAATACACTTCCGCGAACGGYGGTTAGAGGTGGGTAGTGGGTACGTGTGCGCATATGGGCGTGTAAACAAAAACAACCTTGCCGAGGGATATTAGCATATTTTGATATGTACCGTTGGCTGGGGAGGTGAAGGTGATTTCCTTTCTTCAGACATTCAAAATGCTTTGTTTGCTCGTTTTATTATTGTTATTAATATTGCTATTAACGCGGTACGCCAACATCCTAGAACTAGCTGATAAAGGGTAATCCCGGAAATGCCGTGTTCGAATACACACGCGCGCCATCCTTCCATCCAACCCCCAACACCACCAAGGCGTAAAATACGCATACACAAGAATGGTTCGAACAGCGTATTACGCACGCTATATTGGTAGAAGAGTATTCACAATGGACTTAAAATTTAATCTCTTATCCGTTTCATTATTACGTCTTTGGATTTTATTCAAACACAAAGAACAATATCATCATATAAGAGCTCCGTGCACATGTGTGCTGGTATTATGGTATCTTATATCGTTAAGGGTGGGGAAAGATTATGCACACTCAACACCTGTCCTTGTTATATCGTAAAACCAGTAAAACCGTGGTCGATATCGTATAATATTATATATTATATGATATTAAGTAGATGTCTATTATATATTATTATATACAGTGACTATATAATACGTCCAAATGACTATACGTTATTGCTATCGATTTCCACATAATATGATTTATAGGAAAATAAAGGTTATTTGTTTTAATAGGGGTGAGGGATAGGTCATGTTGGAATCGTGCAGTTTTTTATTTGATGCGTGGACGTATAAACATACAGACACCGTCCTACTGTACCTGCTTTTACAAAATAATATATAATGCATATAATCGATTATCTGTTTAGGATTGTACAAATGTGTTACTCCCGTCTAAAGTCTGACAACAATTGAATGATTTGAACTGGACCGGAGGTGACGGTATTTCTGGTATACCGGATGGGAGGATACAGAGGGGATGAACTTTAACCACCAAAGTCCCCGTGTGCACACCCTTTCTACTGCCACTACCACCACCACCACCACTGCCAACGCCAACACCAAACTCACACTCGACCACCATCACGTTAATCATCCCCACCGCAATATGCTCCGTCAGAAATAACATTGCTGATAAAATAAGCATTGTACCGCTAACAGTAGGGTCGTAATTAATGATGTTTAGTCGAACGAGTGTCGGTGTTACGGCACCCAGTTAGTATTTTGTTCTCTGCCCGGGCACGCCTGGGGTGGTGTGCTCTTCTACCGCTAACCACGTCATTGTCATTTCACCACTCTCTTCTTCATGTTTATCCCGTTCCATATGTATTTATACACGCGTTAAATTCCGATAGATTAAACTAGGTATCATATGTAGATTTATGGGCGTGTGTTGATGTTTGRTTTTAATTTATTTGGTATGCATATTTYTACAGCCAATAATCGATTAAAATTTAAGACCATTTCTTAATTTAAAATCATTTTCTTCTTAATTTTTTTCATGTGAAAAAACTTATGTAGCTGGTGAAACCGTGTGTCAACKTAGTGCTGACACAAAACGCACTACGCGCGTGTAGCTGCATGGCTAAAACATCTAATGTAGGTACCTTTAAAATTAAGAATAATTTTCGATATTTTGCATTTACCAGGYGTCTCACGACGGCTCATATTCCCATTCTGTTAAATGGTTGTATATTGTTATGTTTTCTGTGTGACATAGTTGTTTCTACAATAGACCTACTAAAATTAAACTATCATACAATTGTTAAATAATTGTAAAATAATTTAAATGTATTATTATTTTTATTATTATTATTTAAAA